TAGAAGCATTCCCGATGGGAATTTTAATACACAAGCCTTAGAAGTATACCTTCTGCCAGCATTTAGCTATGACATTAATTCTTTCCTTCAATATTAACAATAAGGTTATATTTTCACTGGTTGTTTTAGTCTGTAGTACCTCAAGGCATGTTAGAGCTATGTGTATGAACAATGGTTATAAGTGACTTATTAAATAGAAGTTTATTGAAATCTTCCACTATGATTTTAGGAGCAAAGTTATAGACTTTAACAATGACCACTGCAAATATGTAGCAGCTTGGGCAGAAATTTGGGCTTTTGAATGCTTACTTGGCCCATTCTCCCATGCTGGTGTCTGCTGCCCAATTGTCACAGCTTCTGGGATCTGGGCTAGCTAGATTAAAGCTGGTTTTGGTATCCGTGCTGCAGTTACATATCTGAAGAGTTACAGAGAAAGCCTGCATATTAATGAAGCTGGGGAGGCAGCCATAGAAGCTGTTCTTGAAGCAGGGGAGTGAATTTTTTGCTCAGAAGCATTTTGCACGTTATCCAGAGCAATGTGTGCACCAGCTCAGCATTAATGCTATCTAACTTATTTATGAATCAGGCCTGCAGTGTTTTAACAGATCTAACGCCATCAAATGATACAATGTTTTGGTAGCTGTAGCTTCACCTGAATAACTGATGTCCTTTTTGTGTGTGTTTCCCCTTCTGTGCCCTCCACCCTGCCCCTAATGTGCTACTCTGGTTCCCCCAAATTTTAATTTCTTTGTAACTTTTATTAACAATGATTTCTTGTTTTCATTTATTTCCGTTTGTTTGCCTGTTGTTTCTCTTTTTGTGTTCCACTTGTTTTACTTTCTTATACCTTTGATCTTGCCTCCTCCCTCGCTCTCCTTTTGCTTCCCTCCTTTTCCCCTGTTGCCCTCCCTCCCTTGCCATCATCTCGTCTGCTGCACATCTGCCGTGATGTCTGACAATGGCTGTACTGTGGGCCTGCCACAAATATTGTCTCTCATCTTGTCCGAATTTTTGCAGAGGAGCAAAGCACGTTCACCTGGGAGTTACCTAGCAGTATGTAGTTTGCATTAAGTTGTATCCTATTAAATTCTTATTAAGAAATTAGTAACCTGCCTCAACTTTCCTCTCTTATTCCTCACTTAAGTTATGATCTTATGCTTTAAAGATGTAGCTATTGTCTCTATCCACTTCCCTGCAGTTCCTTCCAGTTATCTTGATCCACAGTTGCATGATGCACATTGTAGTACCTTGAGTTATTTTGCATTGCCTCAGTGGCCAAAAATTTAGTAGGGAAAGCCAGAGGTGTTGGTAGTGAATAAGCAAGAAACAAATATCTCAAGTGCAATGGCATAGTCTCCTGAGTGTGTGCGTGTGCACCAGTGCCATTAATGATAATGAGAGCACTGTGGGAAGCTTCCAGGAGAGATTATATCTTTCTGTATAGGATAGGAGGAGAGGCTGTTTTAATCCACCTCCTATGAGTCCCACTGGGGGCTCTGTGGCTGAAACCATTGCAGAACCTGCATAGGAAGGTTTATTTCTTACGGACCTGGCTTTTTGTTTGGAAACCCTTTGCCTTTCCTCCTTCAGTTCCAAAGGGGTTATCAGGTTGCTTAATGGAAGGGCTTTGTTTTTAGAAAGTAGAGTTTGCACTTCATTGCCTCGATTAGTTACTTTATTTCCCATATCTCAGCCATGTCAAATTTGGAAAGGTGTTGTCTTTCTCCACCCCAAAATGAAGCCTTGTGGCTCTGAATAATGTGTGGGAACGTAGCATGAGGCATTGGGAGGTCATACAATATATAGGGGATAGCAAAGGAGAAGACACAAGGTGGGAAGTGAGTAGAAAACAAGTTAGGTATGAAGTAGGCTCTGATCTGTATTTTACTCTGGTGATTTAGTGGAGAGCTGCCTTTATTAAAAAAGAAAAGAAAAGCAGGTATGTTTGGGAAAGACCCAAGAAACTGGTCAAGCCAGGTTGGAGTCAAGTCTAGTGTTGAGCTCCGGGAGAAAGAAATAGAAGGGTGCATCTCTTTGCCTTGTGTTTTGCCCTAACAAAGTACATAACTAACCAGCTGCCTCTGCGGAAGGAATTTGCTTTGTGCTTACCACTCACCACTGCAAATCCAGAGCTGTACTGGCTAATGCCACCTTATCAATGGTGCTGCAAGAAAACAACCACTGTTGTGACCTAAAGCATTCCTGTTCAAAGGCTGCAACCAAAACTGTCTTGCTCTTGCAACATGCTGCAGCATCCCATCAGGAAGGAGAGTATTCTAAGGCATGTCTTATCCTTAGTGCCCCATCAGTGCCCTCCCAGTCTACGTATTTCTGTGACAGGTCTCCTCCCAAAACAGCATCCCATCTTGGAGTCTGAGAAGTATCCATTTCTGGACAGTTTCCTAGTAAAAAAAAAAAAAAAAAAAAAAA